CCAGCAGCGCCCAAGAATTATTTTGAAAGCAGAATGTCATATAACAAATATTCGAATATAGTAATTTTATCACAACTGCTTAAATATATTTTGATTTATTCCGTAATTTTCCTAATATGTGTAATCGGCCTTCTATACAGATTTAAAAGAAGCATGCCATAAGAAGGCCAGCATACATTGTATATAAAGATAATACTGATTAAATAATTTTGATGTTTATTATTCAAAACAATTAATAGTTCACAGAGTGGATATATAGAAATACGGTATTCTTGGACGCAAGCCAGGGACAGTGGTTTGTGCAGATCAATTCCTCAAAAGAGCGTAAGGCAATTTTAGATTACTGGAGTGGCATTATGCCCTCACAGTGCATTACTGTTGAATTTTGATTCGTAAAATTCAAATTCAATAAAATTTGAAAACTGTATGATTTCATGCTCCGTAAGTCAGAACTTACTTGCACTAAACGAAGTGTAAATTTATCGGTTCGTCTGTCCGTACGCATAAAAGAAGCTCGATAAACACTAGATGAGTTTTCTTAAATATGATATTTTTTAATTTTACACAGAACCTTCAGTCATTTGTATTTTTGGTTCGGACATGTTGCTTAAAGGACTACGTGCGTTTCTGGGATATTGCTAAATATTTACATAAGAAAATTAAATTTTTGAAAAAAAAAGAGTTGTAGAGAAGGATAAAACATGTGATTCATGTCCTATACACTTTTTATTTTTTTAATGCGCTTAGTGAGGGGGGGGGGTCCAACTGGGTGCACTCGGCACAGCGGCCACTGATTGGCCTATTGTAGCCTGCCCCGGGTGATTATGATGATGGAGAATTTGGTGGAATGAAGATTGGCAGGGGAAACCGAAGTGCTCGGTAAAAACCCGCCCCAGTGACACTTTGTCCATCACAAATCCCACTTGACCAGACCCGGGCTCGAACCCGGGCCACCGCGGTGGGAAGCCAGCGACTAACCGCTTGAGCTATGGCGCGGCCTAATCAAAGGCAACTAAATGGAATGGATATAAAAACATTTCCGAACTTTGTTTAGCAACCAGAAATGGTCTCCTGGACACCATTGCGGTTACAAAGAAAAACAAAGAAATTTTTCATTTAGACTGTGTTAGAATAAGATCTAATTCCTTTAATGATGTGCTCTACTAAAACATGACGTTGAAACGCTTATTAGATAACTCATACACTGGATACTGAAGACTTGATATCTATTGTTTATTCGTCGAATATGTAGTTCAAGTTTAAATATCATTATATAAGAGTGAACAGTTGCAACTGAATTTAGCGTCTGTTTATTCATGTTCATTTTTATGTTCTTGTTATTTATTTTAGCCGTTTGAATGTGACACACAATCATTACGGTTTTCCATTTTCACTCTTCACTTGTTTACACCCTGTAGAAAAATGTGATGTTTTTATAGGAATACATCAACAGTGTGAGAATAAAGTTCCCGAACTGACGCTGTTACAATAAAACTATTAATGCCATCTATTGGATATGACGGAACTAGTTAGAGAGAACATTTATTTATACGATGTGCAAGTTTCGACTTGTTTGGTTGGTGCATACGGGGATTATAACTGTTTTTAGTGAAGTTAGTTTTTTCTTCGTGTCTTAAGGTTTCAAAATGGAACAAAGAACAACGATCAAATTTTGTATAAAATTAAAGAAAACGGCAGGGGCCACGCCATAGCTCAAGCGGTTAGTCGCTGGCTCCCCATCGCGGCGGCCCGTGTTCGATCCCGGGTCTGGTCAAGTTGGATTTTTGGTGGACAAAGTGGCGCTGGGGCAGGTGTTCCCCGAGTACTTCGGTTTCCCCTGCCAATCTTCATTCCACACAACTGCTCCACCCTCACCTATCATCTGGGGCTGGTACAAGAGGCCAGAAGTGGCCGCAGTACAAGGGACTTACTCCCACCTCCACTAGCAATAAAAAAAACAACTACTGAAACGTTTGAGATGTTGAGAAGTGCGTACGGTGAAGAATGTTTATCGAGAGCAAGCCTGTTTGAATGGCATCAAATGATCAAAGAAGGGCTGGAGTCATTACAAGATGATGAATCAAGTGGCCAATACTGACTGCATTTTCTGATGCTAAAGGTATCAATCAACAGGAATTTATGCCGAAAAGCAGACTGTAAACAGTAAATTTTATAAAGAGATGATTAAGAGATTGAGCGCTCGAGTTCACCGCGTTAGGCCTGGGTTTCAGGAAAGTGTGTCCTGGTATCTTCTGCACGACAATACACCGGCTCATTCTTCGGGCTTTGTCTCCGAGTTTCTGGCGTAACGAGGGATCCCCGTGTTATCCCATCCACTCCGCTTCTCTGATTTAGCACCGGTTGACATTTTTATATTCCCTAAATTAAAAATTGCGATGAAAGGGACGAGATTCGAGGCTGTTTCAGCGATCCAACAGACTGTCACGAAAGAACTGAAGGCGGACTGAATAAGCGTTTTTTTGGGCACTCGATTTGTTGTATGAGCGATGTAAACGTTGTGCTGAAGCGGGCGGGGACTGTATTGAGTGATGGCATTAATAAATGTTTTTATCTTTTGTGTGTTTTTATGGCCTCAGTTCGGGAAATTAATTGTCACACTGTGTATAAGTTAATTCGTATCTACAAATACAGCTAAGAAACTTGTTTTTAAATTCGTCTGTGTGAAGTCCCACTGATCGACTTTGGCCAAAGAATGTGGTAACTACTATTAAAGCTGGTTGCCAGACAGTGGTTTACAGATCCCTTACAGTTACGCGAAAATTACGTGGTAAACACACCAATGCTTTGTACCTTTGTTTTAGAATACATTTACTTCCTCGTGGTGTGCTCCTATTGAATGATTAACATGTACAGATAAATTAAATTATTGTCACGTGGAGGGGCCTCTGTGTCTGCATAAAGCCAATACGCCACAATATGTTTGTGAAGTACTGCCTAAGTTTTCCTTATACAGGGTGTTTCACGAATTTAGGGCATAACTGCAGGAGGTGATTTCCTAGTCTTTGTGATCAAAAGAGTTCATATAAACATGTGTCCGATTTTGGACGGTTACGGAGTTATGAACGTTTAAACTCAGAATAGAAGGTAACGATTACTGACAATAAACAGAACAAAATAATAAACCAGCATAATACATGATACATTTAAAGTATGAATGTAAAGTTAACTTCGTGAAATTACCTTTAATTTGAATTTATTGNCTCGGTTCACACGAGGGCGTGTACGGGAATGAAAAAAAGGTCATAACTCCGTAACCGTCCAAAATCGGACACATGTTTATATGAATTTTCTTGATCACAAAGACCTAGGAAATCACCTCCTGCAGTTATGCCCTAAAGTCGTAAAACATCCTGTATAAGCGTGGGTCATTTCTAGTAACGATACCAAGGGAAAGGGTTGAACAGGTATGAAGAAATGAGAGAGAAATTAAAGTGGGTTGACATTGGAGGTTCCCAAAGTGGTGATAATGAAGGTTATAATCTTCTGGAATGAGTTGCTATGCAGCCCGTTAGATGTTTACCGTTGTTTCGGAGAAACGTGCTACTTCCATCTGTAATGGGGCATGGGGGAAAGGACGGCAGAGAAAAGAGCCCTAAGCGAACAGATGACAGTAAGCAAAGGATGAAGCAACAACGGTCATTCTAAGGGACTTTTTAACAGAGTAGAATGATGGGCAAACAGTGGCTCTGACTGACCATTGCTTGATAAAGGGAGACCAACAGAGATGGAGTACGGAATCATTAACCCTAAGGGCCCGTTCAATGGCAGAGTGGATGGAACGAGGGATAAAATTACTAATATGTTCTGACGCCGAGCAGAGGCGTGGCTACCATCCTGCGGTCTATGCGGCATCACATATCAGAAGAAAGTGAAAGGTATAAAATTTGAAGATGTTCCTGTGCTTAACTAATTAAGGACCACACCATGAAGACATAACGGGGAGTGGAGGTATAGCTCCACGATTTTTTACCTCGGCACTAGTTGGAGGTGAGCAGTCAGCTTCACGCCCCGGCAGCTCCATGTATCAGATAGAGCCCATGATAACCATTGGATAGAAGACTGGGTGGGCCCCAGAGCCGGTCCGGACGCTGTGAAGAACAGAAAAATGCCTGCCCCTGCCGGGAATCGAACTCTGGCTGTCTAGCCCATGACCGGTCTCCATACCAATTGAGCTATCCCGGCTCATCCCAGAAGATACTAATCTTCATGAAATTTGGTGTTGGAACAGTATGGGTTTATGTGGAGTGACAGAAATAACTGTATTCTGTATTCGCCGCTCTTCTGAGTGCGTCGAGCTACTGTGACTTAGTACAGTCTTACACAAGACTGTGCTGGTTACCTGGAGTGAGAAGCGGCGGTGCGCCACCTTGCGGCCACCGCGACGCTTGGAGATATGTGGGTTGTCTGCCCGGATAGTCTTGTTCTTGAGCACTTCAAGCTGCGTGTAGAGCCGCTTTAACTCCGCCTGTGGATAGTTTCATCAAGATATCAGGCCCAGGTGTATACAAGCAACGGTACTGCAGTCCCTTTGGGATTACATGATCCCTCAGAGCCACCTGCCAGCAGGCAGGCACACTGCCAACTGAATGCTTCGCTTGTAGGTTATGTTCGACTTTGCAACTGCAAGTATCGACGCCTGATGCTCAAGTAAAACATCAGCACTACGCCCATCTTCCTGCGCTGGGGCTTGCTACCCTATGTCAAGAGTATGGGGGGGCTACATATACTAAAGAATCTGACTAGGTTAAATGTATCCAATTCATCTATAAATATCGCATCGGCTCCATAACTGTATCACGATATAACGACATTTACATACAAAATTTGCAGCTGAGTTTGTGACCTATCTCCATAAAAATGTTTCTCTTATGATCGATTAGTTATCAAACGGGAAGCCAAGAGTAGACTTCGCATGGTAGTCATTTTCTTGTATTACACTTTATGAAAGACTACCTTAAAGAAATTTGCATATTATTAGAAATTCTACCACCATACAATGATCCCAATTTATTATGCTACTAATAAAACGTAAAGTTATTCCTGCAACAGGCCGTGGAGGCCCACAGGATTGTGAGAGGTCGAGGCTCCCACGATTTCTAGAAAATCGTCTTCCAAATGGTGGTGAGGTCAGCCTTACGCTCCGGCAGCCCTTTACTCCCCCGTAATATTGTTGGCACTCATTTCTGTTAGAGGCTGAGTCAACTCCAGGGTCAAAGTGCGGGTGGAAGGATTGGGTCAATTGAAAATTCCAGTGACCTCATCGGGACTGGAAATCGCGACCTTCCGCCTTGTAGCATAGTGCCTCAACCAACTATGCTACCGCGTGCCCCCTTACTCTAGCAATGGCACTTTAATTTTAGAAGTTCGCAAAGCCGCCATGTTGGTGTTACTGCTTGTAGGAAATTATAAAATACAAATGGTGGCGCCAAATACTGTCATGCCGAGTTTCATTAAGATCCTTCAACTAGTTCAAAACTTATGTAATAGATAGGTAAACTGACACAGAAAAATTATTCTAATTAAGTAAGCATTTTCTTTTCCTTATAATATAAGAAAAGCAAGCCAAAAAATAAAAATTATATCCAAATGTAATGGAATACGTCTTGAAATTAACTGTTTACCCCACTCATAATTATGAATAAATTTCGCCAGAATTCCCATTAAAATTCAGCTTGAAGAAAATTAGGCTTCTGTAACACTTGAGCTACCCTATTTTTTAATTGCTAATGGGGTGGGACTAAGTCCCTTGTACGGCTGCCACTTCTGGCCTATTGTACCAGCCCCAGATGATAGGTGAGGGTGATTGTGGAGCAATTGGTGGAATGAAGATTGGCAGGGGAAACCGAAGTACTTGGAGAAAACCTGTCCCAGCGCCACTTTGTCCACCACAAATCCCACTTGACCAGACCCGGGATCGACCCGGGCCGCCGCGGTGGGAAGCCAGCGACTAATCACTTGAGCTATGGCGCGGCCTGAGCTACCCTAACTCACTGTTATGTTTATTCAAACCATGAGATCAACTGATATGAAAAAATGAAGAATCACATCTACTGAAATGAAAATTATGTGATGCGTAGTACACTAATATTGAGACAAAAGGATCAAGATGTTTTTCATGAACTAAACACTGAATTTACATTTATAAAAAAAACTTTACCAATACAATTAAACAGCTTTGTCACACTGATAGAATTCAGAGACTATATAGGTTAATAATGAAGCTCATACAAGGTAACTGGAAAAGGATTTTAAAGATGCATTTATCCAAAGCAGGAATGAAGTTTGGTGAACGGGTAGGCCTATGATCCCCATTACCAGGCCAATGATAGTCAGACCAGCGATTCCAGTGAACGGACCATTTCGTTTAGAGTTTATGCAGGTATGACAAGTTCTTTTCAGAAATAGATGCATGCTCCGGACAGGTTGTAAATACCGTGTCCGGATGAAAGGTAACCAAAAAAAAAAATGTATATATGGGAAACTAATTTTCATACATGTACCGGGTTTTGTCTTCGGAAAGGAAAACTCCAAAAGTTTTTTTTTTTTTCATGCCTGGCTTGGGCGCAAGCGCCTCCACATTTCTGCCGCCATGTTAGGAATCACCTGGACAGAGAGATGGCTGGGATATGAATTGGCAGAGGTGGACCAGTCGCTTGCCCTCCTAGGTCGCCAGATTTAACCTCACTGATTTTTTCTTGTGGAGTTATGTCAACAACATTGACTACCAGGTTAAAATAAACGAGCTTCAACACCTGAAAGCCCGCATAAGAGACGCTGTGGCTGTGGTAACACCAAACATGCTGGGATCGTCTGGATATTTGTCTTACCACCAAGGGAGCCCACACTGAAATTTATTGTGAAGGTTACATACTCAGAAAAAACTGTGATAGTTTCCCTTTGTAATGGTGTAACTCATAAATGTACATAATAAATGTTTTCTGAGATATAATTATTTTATTTTGGATACCTTTCATCCGGACATTCTGTATTGCAAGAATGACATAACACATATTATTAACGAAATTAACGTATTACAATTCTGCTTCCGTAATCCATTTCAGCATGCATGGAAACGAGGCTTGTGAGGTCTCAAAACACTGGAAATCGCTGCGATAGAAATTATTCTTGGAGAAGGAGCCCGGGTTCACCATTTCCAGCAGTGGCTTTATGACAGTAATGGATTTTACATACATATTCTGGATGAAATTGAATGAAAGGCTTACCCTAATGTCTTCTGGGTTCATATCGGCCAAGTTAATTTCCCCAACATCCACGTCACTACTGTTGGTCCCAGTGATGCCATCTCGTGGCTTGAAAGCGTCCACAGGCATTGGACAAGAGTATTCGTAGTGTCTCTTCCCTCGGGAGTCTGTCACTTGCTTGTGTTGGTACCACAGCTGCAACATGCAACAAACGCAGCTTGCCTTTCGTTTCGTTCCACTGACCAATTCTCTTTCGTCAGAATGATGAATCTGAGTCACATATTTCATTTTCGGTTTTGCTGATAATTATTACAATCAACTTATTAATTTGAGAATCAGAAGTCCATTGGGCTTACTGACAACAGATGGTAATTTCTTTAGAAAGGTTGCTGTTCCCTGGAATGTCTCACCTGCTCAGAAGTTGGAGAGAGCGTGTTATTCTGCGTTAATAATCATCAGACTCCACGGTGTCATGTTCTAGATAACAATATTCCTCATAGTCATCTCTGAGTTCAACCAGACCTGTTAGCTTAGCGGTAACACNCTGCGTTAATAATCATCAGACTCCACGGCGTCATGTTCTAGATCACAATATTCCTCATAGTCATCGCTGAGTTCAAACTACAGATCAGCATTGGAGAGGTTTTGGGTTGCAGCCTCGGCAGAGACGTAAGCTAATCCTGGGCCCCTCGTGGGTTTCTTCAGACCCTTCAAGTAAGTGCCACAGTAGCTCCTCGAGTAAGCCACCGTCGCTTCTTTCCAAACCCTTCCAGTTCAGCATTCCACCAACGCAACTCAGTCTTCATACTCCAAGAATGTTACACTCAGATTTCACGGTTTTATTATGATTAGTCCAGCAACGAACTCAGTTCCATATATGAGGTTATACGGCTTCATCATGACTACTCTTAATAACTGGAAAGGTTATGGAAAGAAGTCGTGGGCCAATCTGAGAAACAGTCCCGAAACTTGTCTGGAGGAATTGAGAAACCATGAACACCTTCAGACAGGATAACCTGTTACAGTTTCGAGATATGAACACGTGAGCTCCCTAATACGAAACAAAAGTACTATCAGTTTAACAGTGGTGTTCGGACTGATGAGAAAATGAAATGTCTACCGTATTTAACATCTTTATATTTACATCGTCAGAAAATTTCTCACAATCCAGGAATAATAATTATTCAGTAGTTAATGAACTAACAACCCAAAAACCTATCTACTTAACTAATAATCCGGTAAGAAGATATGCAAGAAACTCTGTATGACTATCGTCTATCAATGTTATAACATATTATAGTTTCTTTCTGTAATAATTCAAAGTGGATGCAAGTAGGTACATTTCTTAAACTCCCTCCTCGTCAGCTGCAAGAACTAGAACGAGTTCGAGAGAACACCAATGGAGGCACCATTTCGCGGCTTATCGGTGGCCGTAGACGCTTTGCACAAGCGCATTGCTGTTAGTCGAAAAGGATGTAATGAAAACAGTTCATATTTTACTTGCTGTAATCACTCACTCATGGAACTGAGCCCTTCTTGAGAGGCTGCCAATTGTCCAGCTGCTCAAGAACTTCCCAGAATTTTATGGAATTCGAAGGTCCATTACCGTGTTCACAAGAGCCTTCCACTGATGCCTATCCTGAGCTAGATCAATTCAGTCCGTACAATCTAATCCTAGCCTTCTAAGATCCATTTTAATGTTGTCCATCCACCTATGTCTTTGTCTTCCTAGTGGTCTCTTTCCTTCCGACGTTCCCACCAATATCCTATATGCATTCATCTTCGCCCCCATTCGTGCTACATGCCCTGTCCATCTCATCCTCCTTGACTTGATCATTCTAATTACACTTGGAGAAGCGTACAAGATATGAAGCTCCTCATTATGCAGTTTTGTCCAGAATCCTGTCACTTCATCTCTCTTCGGCCCAAATATTCTGCTCAGCACCCTTTCTCAAACACCCTCAGTCTACGTTTCTCCCTTAAAGTTAGAGACCAAGTTTCACACCCATACAGAACCACACTAAATTATAGTTTTGTATATTCCAATTTGTATGTTCTTAGACAGCAGATGAGAAGACAAAAGATTCTGGGCTGAATGGTAGCAAGCATTACTCGAGTTCAATCGCCCCTTAATTTCCTCCTGAATCAGGTTTTGATTTGCTATCTTTGTTCCCAAATATCTGAACTGTGGCACATTTTCAAAACTTCTGTTTCTTATCTTTATATCATGATTTTGCCCTGCATTTTAATCTGCTGCCACGAAAGAAGGAACGTAAGTACATATGAATGCCGTCTCCTGTCTATTGAAATATGGCCAATGAGATTGTGAGTCTTCCCACCAGGAGATGTCCAAGTGAACTTATGGATGTTACGACGTGGGAACAGTGAACTTTTGACAAAGTGATTTCTGGATGTGGCAAAGTTTACTACTCTAACTCCATTATCATTACTAATTTCGCGTAAACTCTCATTCCCAATTGTTGGTTTGAAAATGTCTTCCCTACTTATACTGCTACTGAAATCTCCTAACAAAATTTTCATAGGGTACTTCGGGAATTTATCAAATACATGTTCTAGTTCTTCATAGAATCTGTCCTTTGTCATCAATCTTATCTTCTCTTGGGGCATGAACATTCATAACAATGATATCACACCAGCGACCTTTTAGTATTATATGTGATATCCTATCACTAACGAACTCTGCCCTCTTAACTGCTGATATGCTTCTCTTATGTACGGAAAAGCCCCATCTGACCTGTACTCCCACTAAATCTAACTTATATTTTGATATTTCTTTTTCAACTGCCCTAAGGGCATCTGCCATTTCTTACATTCTACGTACCAAATCTCATGTCCATTTTCTTTAGCCTAGGTCGTTTATCCAAAGAATTTGAGGACCTTTGTGAAATTTCGTAACAAGCTTATTTTTTTAAGGTGAAGAATTGTTATACCAAGCCAAGCCCCCAAGTTGGAGGATCACTCCTTGTTGACTGTCTGTGGGGTGCTAATTCGATATATTCGCAGCTAACCTCCATCCGCAACCTGAGGGCGCGCCAAGCCGTGGTGACAAGGGACCTACCTAACATCCGCAACCAGAGGACGTGCCATGTCGAGGTGACAATGGACTCACCTAACATGGCCACATCCTCATATTCTCTCAATATGAAATCCGTTCCAATATCAACCTCTCACTTACACTTAGGTAACCGAGCAAGTAGATTCCCTTCTGACCTGTATTGAGGTGCTCGGTTCAAATTTCGGCAGAGGCACAGATATATACTGAGGTTTTCGTGGTTTTAATCAGTTCGTCTTTCTAAGTCTCACACAGCATCAAAGTCATGACTAACTTTCTAAGCGTTCTTTCCAATTAATAGTATAATTTATCGTACCTTCATTCGACGCTATACAACCTGAGTTCCCGATAGCGTAGCTAAGTAAACTACAAATGGGTAGGGTAATAAGTAAATATCCCTAAAGTTTCTCAAGTGCTTTCTTCTAGTCAGGTGCTCCCAACAGTTTGTATGCATTCATAAACACGTAAAATTATGCTTCCGCATGTAATTATCTGTAGAATTATTTATCTTTATATGGTGCATCCTGTTGCGTATTTGCAAACTATTCTATTACGCTTGTTCCGTCTAACGCACTCAAGGAATGTATAACATTCAATTTGTTTTATTAAAATCACATGTTTCGACATATTTTATCTGGTCATCATCAGGTGATTACAACTGTGCTCTCTTGAATTGCAAGCCATCTTACTTTTCATATAGGCCCATATTTATAATGATTTCTTGTGGATAACAATATTGGCATTCGTCGGTACTACAAATTAAATTATTAAAATTGTAAAATATTAAAAATTAAAAAAAAACATTAAAAATATGGCTCATAGATATTTTTTCTAATGTTTCACAATTTTATTAATTTAGTATGTAGTACTGACAAAGATCAATATTGTCATCCACCAGAAATCATTGTAAATATGGGCCCATATGAGAAGTAAAATTTTTTGCAATTAAAGAGAGCACTTGAAAAATACCATCTTCTGGGATGTGGCGACGTGTAGATAGTGTTAACCGACGTTTCGGAGGAATGTGTCGCCTCCATCTTCAGAATAGAAGAAAAAATAACATCTGCGAGCTAGCGTGAGCAGGTACCGACAAACTAATCTATGTCACAGCCGTGAAGACCTCAAATCTTACACGAGAACACTTGTTAAACACTTATATTCACCTGATGATGACCAGATAAAATTGTCGAAACATGTTGTGATTTTAATAAAACAAACTAAATGATATAGATTCTTTGAGTTGCGATAGACGGAACAACTGCGATAGAATAGTTTAGAATGATTTAGTCACTTCGTTTGCTTTATTATGTTTCGTTTACTGAGTTTTTATTTAATTGTAAATGATTTACTGGGTGAATGCTTTTACATTAAATAAAAGAGGCATTCTTATAACCTTTTTGTTTGACTTGATAAAGAATCTTGCCTTAGGAGTGAAGATGACAAGCAATACGACGGTGGAGGTGAGCTGGCTGCGTGTGAAGTAAGCAAGGAAACTGAAATCTGGGTGGAGTGACCTGGAGTACAGGATGCGCAGCACGTAGAAAGCGCCGCTCACTGTGGCCTCCACTATAATGGCGAAACAGAGGAACCGGCGCTCCTGGAACTGCGTCGTGGCGTTCCGACATGCGTAACTCAGGTGGATCCCAAACACCAAGATCAGGATCTCACCTGAAAATCAAGTCATAACTAAACTGCGTGTTACACGATGTTCTGTGACTAGCGAGCTGGCAAGAAAACAGGGAGCTATCCATCTGTCTCACATGTTCAAACAACAGTCCCAAAATCTGAACGTTACTTACTTACTTATGGAGCTGTGCCCTTCTTGATGAGCCGCCAATTCTGCAGCTATTCAAGAAATTTCCAGCATTTTGTGGAGCCATAAAGTTCATTACCGTGTTCACAAGAGCCCTCCACTGGTCCATATCCAGAGCCAGACCAATCCAATCGATACCATCCCATCCTATCAAGCTAACATATATTTTAATATTATCCACCCACCTACGCCTTGGTCTTCCCAGTGGTCTCTTTCCTTCTGGCTTTCCCACCAATATCGTATATGCATTCCTCATCTCCCCTATTTGTGCTACATGCCCTGCCCATCTTATCTTCATTGACTTGATCATTCTAATTATACTTGGAGAAGAGTACAAGTTATGAAGCTCCACATTATGCAGTTTTCTCCAACCTCGTCACTTCATCTCTCTTCGGTCCAAATATACTCCTCAACACCCTGTTCTCATCATCTCTCTTCAGTCCAAATATTCTCCTCAGCACCCTGTTCTCAAACACCCTTAGTCTATGTTCGTCCCAACGGTTAGTCACTGGCTTCCCACAGCGGCGGCCCGTGTTCGATCCCGGGTCTGGTCAAGTGGGATTCGTGGTTGACAAAGTGGTGCTGGGGCAGGTTTCTTTCGAGTACTTCGGTTTCCCCTGCCAATCTTCATTCCACCAATTGCTCCACAATCGCCCTCACCTATCATCTGGAGCTGGTACAATAGGCCATAAGTGGCCGCAGTACAAGGGAATTAGTCCCATCCCATTAGCAATAAAAAAAGATTTGTATATTCTAATTTTTTTATGTTTTTGGACAGCAGACAAGAAGACAAAAGGTTCTGGACTGAATGGTAGCAAGCATTACCCGAGTTCAGTCTCCTTTTAATTTCCTCCTGAATCAGGTTTCGATCTGTTATCGTTGTTCCATCTGAATGTTACTAGCATTTCTAAATACGTTTACTTGCGATATATTTACTGCTTATTTAACGACGCTGTCAGTGGCTTATATGCAACTTAAGGCGTCGCATTTTAGTCAATGGCTTCCCACCGCAGCTACCTGGGTTCGAGCCCAAGTCAAACCATGTGCAATTTGTGGTGGACAAAGTGGCGTGGGGCAGGCTTTCTCAGAGCAATTGCTTCACAGTTACAATCACCTATCATCTGGAGCTGGTATAGTAGGCCAGAAGTGGCCGCAGTACCAAGTGGACTCAGTCTCACCCCATCTCAAGAAATAATAATAAAAAAAAACTTCGAATGGTACAATGATTAGTGAACAATGAACTTGAACAATACGGTAGGAAGCGATCATGTTATAATTTGAGGATTTACCTTCTAGGTATTTGCTTGGAGGGAGTAAGGAAGACCGCGATAAACCTCAGTCAGGAAAGGAAATCTCCCGTCCAAAATATAAAACAGGGACCTATAGAATATGGAGAATTACTGAACGTTTAGCCCCAGTGTCCTGTACGACATATCAATTCATGCCTAAACGTGTCACTAAATAGAATATGGACCCATATAATGCTGCATGGGACACGTCAGTATTCAAATTTTCTGAGTCTTGTAACACAGGAGGGTCCCACAATTTCTGAATAGCCCAGTGATCGACCATTGGTTTCGTATCCCGTTCTTCATCTGTCTGCGGCTGCAGCATTAGAACTAAACACCGTGGTTTTAGTCCGCAAACGAACTATACCGACCGAGCGACCGTCGCTTATCGGCGAAGTTAGTGCCAACTTTAGCAGATAGAGAATGTCTCGGGGTCAGGGCATCGAAACACCACGGCCGTTAATTTCGGTTTTCTAAACCGGAGCCGCTATTTCCGTGAAACAGCTCCTCAGTTATCCTCACGAAGCTAAGTGGACCCCGTTCCAGAACCACTACTTCTCAGAAAATCTGGTAGCGCCGGGAATCGAACTCGGACCTCTGAATCTGTACCATTAAACGGCGAAAACGGGAGAGGAAAAATAATAAGAGGAAATCTGGACAGAACCATTCCATCGGTAAAATTAAACAGGAGAAACAGGTGGTTAAGGTATTAATTGCATTCAGTTAGGGTCCTGTGACACGGTTTCGTGGCGAACGGTAAAGAACCAGCCAGTTTCATTGCAATCAGAAAAATTCTCAACGAGCCAAATTAGACTGTAATCTTGAATCCCACAACTTTGTCCTCAAAATTTCCAAGATGTCGTTTGCAGTTTATAAAGTTTACTTATGGGCTATTTATCAGATTATGGTCTTAAGTAAAACAGATTTTATTATGGGGCAATATCACTGAATATTGAAATTATCAGACAATTTTGGTAAGAATTTCATATAAAGAGTTAACAAATTAATCTACCCAACGCTTTAAGCAGGCGCAGACAGGCAGAAGTTATCTTCATATAAGCCCTTCTTGTTTTCGTTTTGTTCTTTCTTTTTCATATAGTTAACATGAGGAAGCATCTTTATCGTGAAAAATCACACGTTTTCAGCACCCTTTAATACGAAAATTCGGTTTTTGGAATGCCATCCAGCTGTCTGAATGTCATATGTCAAGCTTAACTAAGTAACAAAACGTAACTCTATGGAGCCAGCAGTGGCTCAGCTGCTCAAGAATTTCCTCTTTTATGGAACTCGAACATTCATTACGGTGCTCGCAAGAGCCCACCACTTGTTCCTATTCTGAGTTACATGAGCCCAGTCCACATCACACTATCCTACTTCTCTAAGATCCATTTTAAAATTATATTCCCACCTAAATCTAGGTCTTCCTAGAAATCCTATATGCATTCCTCTTCTCCTCCAAGCGACGTACATGCTCTGTCCAAATCATTCGTTTTCGTTTGATCATTCTAATTATACTCATCCTTGGCGAAGAGTACAAAATACGAAGCTCCTCATTACGCAGTTTTCTTCCACCTTCTAACACTTCATTTTTCTTTGACCCAAACATTTTTCTCAGTATTCAGTTCTCAAACACATGAAAAATTACGTGCGTATCTTTGTACCGATTTGTTTTAGAAAGTTCGCGTAATAAGCGTACCTGTCTCTGTGACGTAGTCCCACCACAGGGCCTTGCAGGCGAGGAACTGCAGCCCCTCGTAAGTGGTTCCCACAGTCAGAACGTCGTAGTTCTCCTGTATGAAGTTGAGGTTAGTGACTGTCCACGCGGCCATGTACCCAAACACCACGAGCACCATCCCCAGCAAATACTTGAGCAGGTCTTTGTCGCGGACCACCCAGCGGTGCGCCTTCCGAGTGCGGAACTCGATCAAGATCCTGTGGACAACATCTCTGCTGCATCAGATCTAGCGGCAGTGCAGGAAACCAAACGTTACGTGAAATACTTACAACATTAGAAAAGAGCATAACATAATTTTCAGTTAATGCATCCGGTCGTGTATAATATATTATTTCTTATTGAAAACCGTAACAACACAACAATCAATAATACGTGTAAGTACCTCTAGGAGATACTTTTATGTTATGCAAAAAGTATCTCCTAGAGCTAATTACACGTATTATTGATTGTTGAGTTGTGGAGGTTTTCAGTAAGACATAGCATAACATAAACCTGTGAAGTGAGTGTGAATTCTGTAAGGTGTGTTGCAGAAGGAAGGGCGGTGGCAGAAAGACTACTGAGATATGGCTTGCCACTCACTTGTGCTCATCTTGAGGCATTGTCTCAGGCTGTGTGTATGCTGGTGTTGGTGGACTGAAAACAGTCCAGCAGTGCCGACATACAAGTATACATAGCTGGACTGGAAACAGGCCAGCAGCACCAACATACAAGTACACTTTGCTGGACTGAAAACAGTCTAGCAGCGCCAACATACAAGTACACGTTGCTGGATTGAAAACAGGCTAGCAGCGCCAACATACAAGTACACATAGCTGGACTGAAAACAGTCTAGCAGCACCAATATACAAGTACATATAGCTGGACTGTAAACATACAAGTACACGTTGCTGGATTGAAAACAGTCTAGCAGCGCCAATATACAAGTACACATAGCTGGACTGGAAACAGGCCAGCAGCACCAACATACAAGTACACTTTGCTGGACTGAAAACAGTCTAGCAGCGCCAACATACAAGTACACGTTGCTGGATTGAAAACAGTCTAGCAGCGCCAATATACAAGTACACATAGCTGGACTGGAAACAGGCCAGCAGCACCAACATACAAGTACACTTTGCTGGACTGAAAACAGTCTAGCAGCGCCAACATACAAGTACACGTTGCTGGATTGAAAACAGGCTAGCAGCGCCAACATACAAGTACACATAGCTGGACTGAAAACAGTCTAGCAGCGCCAACATACAAGTACACGTTGCTGGATTGAAAACAGTCTAGCAGCGCCAATATACAAGTACACATAGCTGGACTGAAAACAGTCTAGCAGCGCCAACATACAAGTACACGTTGCTGGATTGAAAACAGGCTAGCAGCGCCAACATACAAGTACACATTGCCGGACTGAAAACAGGCTTGCAGTGCCAACACACAAGTACACATAGCTGGACTGAAAACAGGCTAGCAGCGCCAACATACAAATACAGATTGCTGGACTGAAAACAGTCTAGCAGCGCCAACATACAAGTACACGTTGCTGGATTGAAAACAGGCTAGCAGCGCCAACATACAAATACAGATTGCTGGACTGAAAACAGTCTAGCAGCGCCAACATACAAGTACACATTCCTTAAGATAGACAAGAGTCAAATGTATGATTTACGTTCACTTAACGTGTTGACGCTCCGCAATTCGTTGCTATGGCAATTTAAAATTGCTTCCTTTCAGAACATTCATCTCAACATTACACGCAGTAACTTCCATTCGCTGGTGGCTATAGTTAATCTATATTTTCCTACTGTTAAACTGTACTGAGGCAGGAGCTGAATTTTGGATATTATTTAAATGGTGTTCAGGCTTGAAGAAATTATTAACTTACAAGAAAACCATTTTCTTCTTGAAGTACATGGAAGGCATTCAACTTAAGGTTGGTGCACATAAAGAAGCAAATGTAAAACATTTCACTTCCGTGCAAACAACCCACGAAAAATTCCACTATGAATTAATTTAAGTGCACGTTTCGATGTCCCACAGCATTAGCAGGATATTTATATATTTCCAGTGACTTGCGAATACTAAATAACATATCTGCCATAATTATTATAATAGTTGAAACTATCCCTGTAACAGGCCGTGAAGGCATATAGGGTTGTGAGACGTCGAGGATCCCACATTTTCTCTAGACAATCTGCTCACAGATCGCGGTGAATTTGTCAACTTTCCTGGACCCTTGTACTGCGGTCACTTCTGAACTATTGTACAAGCACCAGATGATAGGTGAGGGTGATTGTGGAGCAATTGGTAGAATGAAGATTGGCAGAGGAAACCGAAGTACTGGGAGAAACCTGCCCCAGCACCAATTTGCCCACCACAAATCCCACTTGACCAGACCCGGGTTCGAACACGGGCCGCCGCGGTAGGAAACCAGCGACTAACCGCCTGAACTATGACGCGGTCCAAGATGCGGTACGTAAGCCAAACACAACACAACGTTCGGAGACTGGAGTCTGTCTCCGTCTTCAGGTAAAACCTACTCAGTTTGGCCAAATCGATAGAGTTAGTCCCTATCTCCGGGCACCTGCGCCAACAGAAGATAGGGTATACAAGCGAAGCACAGCACAAACCATCCATGAGAGATAAGACATAACATTAAATTATTAAAAACTCTACAGTATGAGGCTTTGCACCAGAAAAATTTCTCGATAGAAATAATCTCTGGATAGAAGAGACACTCCTTATGGTACCAACACAAGAGAAACTAATTCTCCCACTCCATCTACGCTAGCCGGATTTGTTGCTTTTACTTCTGCTGTGATGACGGGAGTCCAGATGGGAGAGATGTCGAAGCTGGGTCTACTGATCGGACGGTCTATCAGAGACATGTGAGTGGATTCCATGTGTTTCCTGTAGGTGGTGTTTGGTTCAATCTGCAGGACCTTCGCTTCATTCCAATTTCGTGGCCTTCTTCTCAAGCAAGTTGGGCTAGTTTTGATTTTTCAAGCAGACCCTGTGTCAGGTTAGATTTGTGCTCCATAATGCGTACTTGTAAGGGGATGTACTGCTTCGTGTGCTGGGCATCTCTAACCTGTCCAGTTTTCATCAATGTGGAGAAGCAATAGTCCTTCTTTAGATCCAATATAATATTCATATGTCATCCAATAAGGTAACTGGATTTCTTTCATTTGACCCAATCATTCCAGCCGCACTATGGCCCTGGGGTCGACTCAGCTTCTAACAGAAATGAGTACCAGGAATGTTCTTGAGGGTAAAGGACGGCCGGCCCGTGAGGCTGACTACCTTTCCGCCATCTATGAGCCGATTGTCTACATAATATAGGAAACTCAACATCTCACAACCCTATGGGCCTCCACGGCCTGTTACAGTGATACCTTTACTTTTTACTTTACTTGTGACACTATGAATCTATAAACAGCTTGATGATGAAGCTGTACGTGATAATGTACCATAACAAATTTGTGTTACGACTGCTGAAAAGTGTTGTGGATGGGAATAAGGGTAGGTTAATTCTTCTGCAACGGTATTCTTCAGTATGAAGTAATGTACAGGGCATGACAGCTTGCCCACTCACTCACCTGTACAGCTTTAGGATGATTGCACCGTAGCAGATAACAAAACCAAGCTCTCGACACCAGGGCTCCAGTAGGCATTGCTCCACCGAGGGGTCGAAGAACCTCACAATGACCTGTAACAGGATGGGTTCATTAAGCTTTTTGTATTTTCTCGATGCAAATTGTCTGTGAATGCTGCAGGAAGTTTGCACGAAACAGAAATAAGGCGTGACACGCGCAGAGTTCGGAATTCTGAAGTGACAATATTAGGCTTAACGCCATGAAAGCCTCCGGGGATAATTTTTGTTTTACAAGAGCGCGGGGTGGGGCGGCTCTTAATTTTTAAAGAGAGGGGAGACCGAAAATTTCCTCACACATTTTCGTATAAGTCGCTGGAAATTATTTTCAGAATATTAGGAACAAAATTATACATTTTTAAGAAAATAATTTTAATTTCTATCATAGTGAATTCTTTTCTTCAATTTTAGTTCTTTTCCAAAATTCCACCGATTGGAGGATACGCCTGACTTGCCCCTACCCTTAGCGGCATTGACACTTAACGCATTGACGGCCGTGTTAATTGTTAGGTTCCAATGGCGGTGGCCCGTGTTCGAACCCAGTATAGATCATGTGGGATTTGTGGTGGACAAAGTAGTACTGCGGCGGATGGTCTCCAAGTACTCCGGTTTCCTCTGCTAATTCTCTTTCCACCAACTGTTCTGGCTATACAGGATGTAACTGAAAGGTGCAGACAGAATTTGGGCAAGAGTTCCACATGTCAAAACAAGAAAGAAAATGTTCATATCAGCATGTGCCTGGAAACAGTTTATGAGTTACGGTTGAAAGAAAACTGTGTAGACATCAGCAGCAGTTCAGCGTTAATGTATGGGCAGGGATTGTTTGGTAGGCTCGCAGGTTTTGCCACATCGGCTTACAGGCAACCACTACAGCGATTTCCTCCTACATGATCAGCCAAAGCTACTGGAAGGTGTACCACTGGCAGACAGAGCACGAATGTGGTACATGCATGAGGGCGCTCCGTGCTGTACGAAATGTCCTCAGTAACACGTAACATGACTGATGGATAGGTAGAGGAGGACCCACTGTGTGGCCTCCACGCTCACCAAAATTGAATCCTCCTATGGGGATCCCTAGATCCTTTGTGTATGCAGCTCCTGTTGACAACGGAGAGGCACTGCGATACCTGTCAGACTATCCGCAACTGCCCCGGATTCTTTGAGCGGATGCGGCGTCCGAGTTGTGCATTGGATCTCATGGAGAACATTTCGGAGCGGTTACTGTAAATGTACTCCTTCAGCTATAACTCACAAATTACATGTTTCTGGACTTCTTGGTTTGGTATGTGGAACTCGTGCCAAAAGTTTGTTTGCAACTATTGGTTACATTCTCCGCAGTCTTAATAATAACTAACTTCATGAAACTGCGCCCTTCTTGAGAAGCCGATTGTGCAGCTACTCAAGAACTTCCAGTATTTTACGGAACCCGAAAGTTCATTATTGTGTTCACATGATCTTTCCACTGGTCAATATCCCAAGCCAGACCAATCCAGTCCATGCAACCCCATCCCACATCTCTAAGCTCGATATTAATATTATCCTGCCGCCCACGTCGAAGTCTTCCTAATGTCTCTTTCCTTCTGGCTTTCCCACCAAGATCCTATATGCATTCCTCTTCTCCCCCATTCGTGCTACATGCCCTGCCCACGTCATCCTCCTTGACTTGATCATTCTAATTATACTTTGCGAAGAGTATAAGTTGTGAAGCTCCTCATTATGCAGTCTTCTCCAACCTCCTGCCACTTCATCTCTCTTCGGTCCACATATTCTCCTCAACGCTCTGTTCTCAAATACCCTCAGTATATGTTCCTCCTTTAATGTCAGAGACCAAGTTTCACACCCATACAGAACCACAGGCAAAATTATAATTTTGTATATTATAATTTTTATGTTTCTGGACAGCAGACGAGAAGTCAAAAAGTTCTGGACTGAATGGTAGCAAGCATTACACGAGTTCAGTCTCCTCTTAATTTCATCATGAATAAAATTTCGATTTTTTCCTGTCGTTCCCAAGTATCTGAACTGTGCCACATTTTCAGCACATCTGTTAGCAGACGTTACGTCATGATTTTGCCTGCATTTTGGTGACGAGACTCAGTTTGTCTCAATGTTAACATCTCCGCTAAATGGTGAACTTAAAAAGACATTACAGGCTACCTCAACTTAGTCATAACTGAAAAGCACGTTCTTTGTAAGAATGGATATAGGCTTCATCACTCTTTACAATATTATATTTAAGCATCCTCTTGCACTCTATACGATAAATGATATAATGATACAAATTCCGTCCCAAGTGCAAACAATATATTATGTGTCCTTGATCTTGTTCACCCACACTACATGTTTCGGCCACAGACGGCCATCATCAGGTGTATAACACTCACGTCGCTGTCACACTGCACTCAGCTCAAAATTTAACATTTAAAACACTTTCCTT